TTTGGCATTTACTAGTTTTTTCTTAATCCCTAAAGCCCCAAATATTTGATTTGTAATACTATCCCCCAATTCTTATCATTTCTATTCATTCTTTATTCTTCATCTTTTATCCCCTTTATTCTTCTGTTTTCTCCTCCAAATGGGCATTTTCAAATAGTCTATCTTTGAATTCACTGATTCTTTCTTTGGTTTGGTATATCTTACTATTGATACCATCTATAGTATTTTGAATTTTGCTGAGTGTATATTTCAACTCAAATATTTCCTATGGATTTTTAAATTTTTTTCTTTCATCTTTTTTTAACTAAGTTCTTCTGTTGTCTGCATTGTTTAATATCCTGTCCTACTCTTCACAAATATTGTTTTACTCCACACTATGCTGAGGTCCAGGTAGTATTGCTGAAAGCAATACCTTGGCCACCAAGGCTGAGGTGCACCCAAGTCTCATAGCTTCAAAAAATTGCAAATTCTCAGGGTTGTATACAGGSCCACAGTGCAGCTGGCAGTAATCCACACTGAAACTCAGGTTCACCCTACTGGCATACAAATCTCCTGATGCCTGGGCAGGTGGGTGTAGATGCTCCCTCTGTGAATATTGGCCTGGGGATAACCGTGCTGCACAAGGTTGGGATATACGTAGTGGAGATAATAGTTTCTTGACCACAAAGGATGACAGCAGGCTGTGTTGTACATGACTTTGACAGCTTCAAGAACCTGCACAATCTTAGAGTAGGGAGTGACCCAAGCCCATTCCAAGACAAAGTGTGTATTCTAGCTTTCATTCCCTGCATTCAATAGGTAGTAGTCTTATTCCCATCTTCTACCTGAGGTGAGAGGAGGGGTGGTGGAGTAGTCCCTTGGCTACCTGGATACCACTGTTCCTGTGTCTCACCCATGGGTTCTGGCCCACCTTCATGGATTGTGGGTTTCTTCCAGGTCCCTGGGTTTCACCATGGCAGGTGTGGTACTGGGTTTCAAGTCTAAGGCCTTGATTCAATTCCTTCTTCATCTCTCAAGTGGGCTGTATCTCTCTAGGCTTCTTGGAGTAGGGGAATGGGTGATGCAGGCAATATTTTCCTTCTTAACTTCTTTGTCTTTTTAAATTAATATTATTATTATAAAACCAGGTACTATGGTCTCTCATCTGGTTTCCTTAGCTTTGTGAAGATTGTTTGTAGGTGAATGCCTGTTGAAATTGGTGTTAGTGAAGAGCCATTGCTGGAGGATCTTCAGCCCCATCTTTTGTATTTCCTTTTGTTTACTCAAGGATATAACTTTGTATTTAAGATTAAATGCATACCAATTTCCATGAATAATCTTTGAAGAATAGAACTTTTGTCATTAGGTATAGTTCATTCTTATCTCTGATAAGGATCTGGAGAGTATATATTTCATTGTAAAAATAAATGTTCAAAGAATAAGAAATGATAAGAAATGAGTAATGTGTTGTCTTTGTTAGATTTCATCATTTAATACTCAACAAATGTTTATGGATTACCTACTATATACTAGGTCCTCTAATAGTATTAGGGATAGATCTCTTGACTAGAGATACAAACTTATTGCCTTCAGAAAACTTACATGTTAGAATATGAAGACATAGCTGTAATTAACATCATATGTAGGGTTACCAAGTATTCAGATGAAAATAATGAGAAGAAATTATTAATATATGGGAGGGGATGGATTATATGTGGAGAGAAGAAATATTGGAATTGTCAGTTATATTGAGATTTAAAGTTATTCTAACATATACTCAATTTTGAGTATTTTCCTTCCCTTCATTAATTTTATGCAGGATCACTTGTATGAAACTACTAAAATTGTATCCTTGACAAATATGAAACTATCTTTATGACRTATAAGAAGTGAACAAATGAGAATGAGAGATGATAGTAGGGGAGGGTTCATCMATGTAGCTCATTTCAAAGCCACCATCAAAGACTTGAAAGACATAAGTAGCCTAATTTCTATATCCGTCCCATTCAATTCTCAGACTCAATTGCTATAGACAGTTGATGGGTTCTAGATAATGCTGCTAAATCTCCAACAATGAAGATTAGGTTTCCTTGGAGCAGACTCTTAGATGGAGATTTACAGGTAGCAAGTTTGTTATGGAATGCTCTTGGAATCCAAATTAATGGAAGGAAGCAAGACCGAGTAGGGTAAGGCAAGGCAYTTTGTATCTTCTATGGAAGTCTCTGCCAAACTTGTAGGGAGTTCTTAGGCTCATCCCTCTCACCCCAATCTGAATCTCTCTACTAACCCACACCAATCACTAAATGTTCCTCTTTTCCTCAAGAAGAGGGACCTAACATCTGAKGATGTGGTCCTCTTTAGCTGAGGCAATTCCCTAAGAAAACTTATAGCTAAAAGTACTGTCCTTGCAGAACTCTCAACAGATGAGAAATAAGTTATTTCTTGAGGGATCTGTATAGTGCATACAGTATCCCTCCAAATAATCTAATTTGGTGATGACTTAAATTGCAGGTGCTTATCTGGATGTTTCTTTTACTAAATGAAACAATATGGCCCCTAGAACTTGGTTTGCAAATATTTGTTTGGCTACTGGATTTCTGATCTACTGAACTGGACTTTAAGCATGAAGTCTATAAATCTATAGTTTTACAAAGAATTCCAATGATTACTCTATAACCCATCCAAAGACTTACATTTTATAATCTTAGGTGTTCTATGGACAGCTATGGCTCTATTGTGGCCAGTGAAATGTTAATGGAAGTGTGTGTATAATTTGGGGATTTTCCCTCAAAAGGAAGGAGCATGCACTCCCCTTCTTCCATTCTTCATTCCAACTAACTTGAATAATGATGTTAGGGGATAGAGGGAACCATGAAAGGCCATCAAGATGGAAGATGAGAAATGTGTGTTTAGAATAGGAGAAAAAGAAGCTGCTAGGCATAGCCATACCTTTACTGGATCACCTAACCAGTCATATGTCTGGGAGACAAATTTTTATTTCAGGTTTTCTGTAAATAGCTTATCACCTCCCAGGTGAAGGGCAGGCTATTGTACTGTGTTCATCTACACTGAATTGGATTTTGGAAATATCAAGAAATCTATATGTATTTCTTATTTAAGTCTATTCACTGGATGGCCCAAGAACTGATAACTTTGGAAAGAAACCAAAACAAAACCTGTTCAAATGATCAAGCTTTCATTAAAATCTGATTTAACTTTCAATTTCATAATATATGGTGATCTAATGGTTCTGGAAGAATCTGCAGGAGAAAAATAATAATGGAGATAATGACAAGTTTTAATATAATCACAGCAATAAAGGCTTTGTAGGTTTTGGAGCAGAACCATGCCACTCTTTGGAGCAGCTGTTCTACTTCCCCAAACACTAGCTTTCTGGTAATATTGCAATGACAGAGCACCATGAACCAAAGTACATCTTCCTAGACTGAGCACTAGATTATCTACRTACTTATGAAGTTAAACATTTGGAAGACCAATCCATTAATCATAAGGCATGCATCTAGCATGGGGCCCATTCAGGTCTCAAAGACAAAAATTTGATCCATGAGATGGTTTCTTATTGCCTACAATGTGCTGGCCACCTTTCTCTGAAATTATAACTTTTGCTTGGAGAAGATGCTGTGGGTCAAATATGTTTCTCCATTCTACTCTGATACTAGCTGAGGGATACTACCCAGTGAGTTTGGTCTGCTGAAGGAAGAAGGTAACATTGGTGTGACAAGAAATTAATATGACACTATCTGTCAAGTTCTAACTAACTCCCAGCTAGCCACTTGTAGTTTCTCAAACTTCCTAAGCAGGAGAGGCAGTCATGATTGTCAGAATTGATCATCACAGACACTATCAAGAGAAAATAACTCCCACAGTAAGGACTGAAATGTAGGCATGTTGATGGCCCTATGTTCTACCATTTCCTGATGTAAAAGTTATTGAAAAACTCCTACAACCTCACCAATTTTGATTTTAAAGGGCTGAAACCCTCATAATTCTGCCAACTGATTAACTCTGGTATGTACTGAAAGGGGGAAAAAATCTAATACTTGAGACAAAGATGTGAGATCTGGAATAGCCACTTGTATGGATTTATTATTTGCCTGTGGTGGATACTCTAACAACCAATATTATCCCCAACATTTGATGGATAGATTTACCATTAGTCCAAATGATGTAGAAAGTAGATTTAAAATTATAAATTGGATTTGTATATATGTTGGGAAGGGGATAAATGTGAGTTGCACATTTTTAATATATGTAAAAACTGTTATACAAGRTACACTTGGATATGTATGTGCAGAAAGAAGGATGTGTGTGTGAGGCATTAAAGGAGTAGACTATATCGAAGATGACTGTCATGTTAGTCAGCCTCAACTTGTTTTATCATGTCACTGGTATACAAACAGAGAAAAGGGTCACAGAAAATAGTTGTTTAGTTTTGGTTTCCAGCAGGAGATGTTAAATTCAAAGTGGTATGATGTGTGTACTCTTGGTGATATAGACTAGAAATCCTCAGTGTATAAACACCTGTATTTTTACTGATGCAATCTGTCAGAGCCTGAGTAAAATAAGAAGAGGAATGGAATACAATTGGAGAAGCAAAGCTATCCACACAAGGGGATTGTTAATTTAAAATGTTGTAAGAAAAGCTAGAGAAACCTTTCAAAAAAGGAAGTATAGAAATTTCAAACCATACAGAGAGAACTTTAAAGAGGTATGGTATCCTAGGGGAGGGAGCCAGGGGAGAAGGAGAAGTGGGAAAAGGCACCAAAAACTACATTTTCAGTAAATAGTGAGAGGAGGCAATCAAGGAGAATGGCCTAAAGAGATAATAGAAGAATCATGATAAGACTCAGTTTCCACTTGACTCACAGAATTCTTATTGCCTCAAAACAAATRCACATGCTCACTAATTGCTTGCAAAGTTATATTTATTCTTCAGACCCAGTCAATAAGAAAAAGATGAGAGTTCTTAGAAAATAAATAGCCTCTTACAACTGTCATGATTATCTGGCCATTGATTGAGCCGAAGTAGTCTTAGCCTGTTCACACATATCTAAACAAGAGCAGGTTGTGGTGTGCCTGTATCTGTAAGATAGTGTGCTTCCATCAGGACAGTCTAGATCAACATCTCTGAACTCATAGTTGTCTTCTCGGCAGCAGTGGCATGAATTTTCCAACTGAAAAAGATTATAATTGTACCTAAAAGAAAATAAAATTCAATAATAAATACATTTGAAATGTCATGACAGAAATTCAACATCAATGCTTAAATTGTAATTAATTGGTTGGAAGGCTTATTAAGTCACTTAAACAAAATACTCTTCTCTTAGACCTTGCATTCCTTATTGCTGTAACTTCTGATAATTGGTACTTAAGAACAAAAGAAAAGAACTCAAAGAGAAGATTTGTAATCATAGTATTAAGGTATAAAAAGCAAACAGATTTTAAATAACCTATTTAGGACCACATTAATCTATATATAAAACTTCACATAAAGGAATGCACTTTATTGCTTAAGGTACTGACTGTAATCACTGCAGGAAGATAAATATATTTGCACAAATGTGTTGAGCCTGTTTAGAAAACTTGAGAATTACTTATTACTATTTAAAAATGTTTGTTTGCTCTCGTGGGGAAAAAAAAAATCTCCACGTTAATGTTTTAAAATCTCGATTTCCTCCACAAAGTCAATGCACAGTACACAAAGGAAAACTCACTTGAGAGTCCTTTTGCATTCACCCATACATTTTGCCATCTGGATTCTTTTCTTGCAACCATTGTACTTAACAGTCACGTTCACAGGAGAAGTTCTGCAATTATCCTTACCTAAAACAAAGAAGATAACAGGCAGGTGTGACATTTAATATTTTAACAATTGCTTATCTCTATGGTTAAGAAAATGGAGGCTAATTCCATTAGTTAATGGCCTCAAAAATAACTATTACTATCTCAGTAAAATGCAACTGGTTAGTACGAAGATAAATATTACCTCATTATTGCTCTTATCACAGATGAAAGAGAAAGGGACCAGTGGGGGAAAATAGGGAAATGGATTATTAGCAGTGAAACAATAGTTGTCAAAAATAATCCATCTGTGTGCTCTAATTCACCAATTTACAACACAGCTTGCTGATGTTAAGAGCTAATCTTCTATTTAAAATATCTTTCACTGTAAACATAACTGGTGTTCACAGGGAAGAATGTTACAGCCAAGAAGAATGAGTAAATACATTAAGTATAAATATTAATGGATAGTTTAGGTTGGATAATATGTTATTAAAAAACAGGTAACTTTCTATTAATGATCTTTCATTGTATTTTGAAAATCCTATCAACAGCTTATACTTTGTGTTGACGTTAACTTACATGTATAGCAACATTTTCTTGAGTCATAGATTCTGTCTTCCTGTAGGGGTGAGAGAAAAGAAAACAGATTGGAARACTTTTTTCTCTAATATACAATTCCTAATTAAGGGGGAACAGAAAAGATGAACATGCTGATGGCAGGTMTGGAGCAGGGGCAAGGAAGGAGGTGAGCTTGGGAATAAAAATCAGGCAGTATTTAGACAGAATTCAAACTTTAAAAATAATTTAAAGRTAACAGCATGTAAAAACTTATTTCTTATTTTACATGAAAAATACTTCATCCCCAGACATGAAGCTTCTCAGTCAGGATCTATACCTGATCTTTGTTGTCATTACTACCCTACCAATGTGTCTCCAAATAAGCTCTCAGTTGAAAACCAGTATTGTAGTTTTTAATAAGTTTAAAATTTTGTAACTCCAGAAAGAAAAATGATTCAGAATCTATTCATAGAATACCTTCATTTTTAAATCATAGAAATGAAGATATTATGGCACAAGGGTATAAATAATACACATATATAATTATGGAAAATATTTCTATTTAATAACTGACATATTTTCTGTGTGGCAGAGGGAAGTGATCCTGGAAATTGAACMCAGGGGCACTCTACCACTGTGCTTCATCCTCAGTCCTATTTTTTATTTTTGASATAGGGTCTTGCTGAGACTGACATCCAAATCACTATCCTCCTGTCTCGGCCTCCAAGTCACTGGGATTACAGGCAGGCACCACCAYACCCAGTTTATGATCTACTTTTTCTAAGATAGCACTAAATTAAGTTTTATAGTGCCTGTAAAAGATAAGGACCTTCCTTGATACATCCACCTTTTTTAAGGACTTTTYATATCTGTAATCATCTGACTCTTGATTCAGTAAATTGTTTAAAGATCTATGCAATTGGGGTTGTGGCTCAGCGGTAGAGGGCTCTCCTAGCACATGCAAGGTGCTGGGTTCAATCCTCAGCACCACATAAAAATAAAGATATTGTGTCTATATTTTAAATAATCTTTTTAAAAAAGAGCTATGCAATTGATGAGATACATGTCTGTTGTCCAGATGCAAATTTATGATAAAGAAGACAGGTCTGTGTTTAACATGAGAAGTCATCTTGCTGATCACTAATTAAGAACAAGACTTACTTCTGCACACCAGCTCTGCTTGGGGCAGTCTTGGACCACCGCAACAAAGCCAGTACTGTTGCAGGTGTAGGAGACACAGGGGTTGCTGGGGTCATCAAATGAGGTACCSATCTGGAAGGAAAGGAGGGGGAGAATTATTATTTGCTTCAAGTTCTTTCTGGAGTTGACAGCTAAGCCAATAAGAACAAAAACAAAAAATTCACTGTTTAGTGACTGTCTAGAGGCACTTTTAGCCATTAGGTTAATAGTGAATAAAGAATGTCTTCTACTTTTGTGAATAAATCAAAATCCTTCATTGAGAGCATAAAGTGTCTCAATTTTTAAGAGAAAATTCACCGAATTTTCAAGAATTTTTCAAGAAAGCTTTTATACAGTGAGCAAGCAGTTCATCACAATTGTTATACTCTAAGTTTGAGGGGAAATAAATAAGATATCCAAGTAAGGGGAAAATGTCACAAAATCAATTTATTAGAACAGATGACAAGTCTCCTAAGATCTCTTCTCTCTTGACTATATTCCTGTATGTTTAAAACCCACTAGAGRTTGTTCTAAAGAGTTTATATTAAACATTCTAACTACAGCATGAGAAACTTTATTTTAGGGCTTCAGACCATAAGAAGAATTTTGATAAACTGAAATTTTATTATTTTGACTATTATGCATATACATGACTAGAAATGTTTCTTAAGTGTCATCTTTTGTTTAAAAACCATTATGGGTTCTAAAGTCAGATCAATGCTGAAAACTAAAAGTTTGAATATGGTAAGTAGGTTGTGAAAGTAAGACTCTCACAAGCTGTTTTATGTATTTCCTACTTTTTTATTTAGGAACTTACTTGTGGCAGAGGGGAGTGATCCTGGAAATTGAACCTTTATTTTTAGATTTTTAAAATATTTGATACCACCAGGTCAAGAATATAATTATCAATTTGAGAATCATCCAATTTTTATGTCTCTTTGACACTAATTTTCAAAAGTTAAATACTGTCCAAAGTATCAAATTAGTTGTCAAAACCAACCAGCCATGAATATAGTGTGTCACTAAGTCCACATCATGGGGTTCTAGTCCTCTGGGTTTTCTTGTTTGATCTCTGACAGTTTGGCCATCTGATCTTTCTGGTTATAATTACAGTTTAACTCTGCTYGTTGATTTGAATGTTACAAAGTGTGTCTTCTCCATCTGGCAAGACCCATGGGAAATTTTGTTCAGAAGCTCTACTGCTGAGTACTTAATGATGAAGTATATTTTCCCCCTTTGATAAGAACCATGGGGAGTGTTACATTTGATGTTCTTCTGAAAATTAATACAGGGACAAAAGAACTCATTCCACTCCATAATTACCATTTTTTCATATTATAAACTGAAAGATCATTGGTGTAGTTTAGCATTGCATTTAGTTAGTTATTTTAGAGAAGAAAAGGCCTTACCTCATAATCCGTATTGTTAAATAAACACGTTTGGGGTTCTGAAAAAGATACAAGTTATTTCATTCCACAACAAATAATAGATTCTTTATCAACCAATTATGTTTCTCCTCATCATACCAAAATATTCATATAACCAGTAGATGAATGGACAACTGTTAATTTTGGGTTTCCATAAGTTTTACCTATCACAAAATTCAATTCATTAAATGCATTATGTATACACACCACAGTGTCCAATTTCACAGCAGGTATCATTAAACGTTACAAGCTTCTCTCCGGTTCTGCATACAGGTGGAGAAGGGCACTCCTGAGGTTTACAGTCTACAGTCTTTGCATCAGTACAGGTACATTTGTGGCAATTGGAAGTCCATGTGTCTCCAGGCTGCAGGTATAAACCAAGTTTAGACCTCTATTCAAATGCAGGAATGAAAGCCAATTTGGATAAAAGTAGAGCAAAACTGTGCACTTACAGATTTCTCTTCTCCCAGTGGACCATGACACACTGTTAACACAAAATGATAAATGCTAATTAAATTTGGCAAAATACAACCATCTGTTATTTATAGATAACCAGCAGGTGGCCAATACTGTAATTGGCACTAGGATTTTAGAGTCACAGGATTATGTAGTGCCTTGAGGTAGATAAATCATATCTACCTACTTTAAGCAAACATTCCTTAAAAAGCATATATATCCTATTTTTATAATCCTCAGTAAAAAAATCTCAATTTTTATTTTTCTGGCAGTAGTCAATAAATCTCATGGCTACCATCTGGTTTCCTGTTTTATAATCTGAYACCTGCCTCCACAATCCTATAAGTCAGCAAGACCTCATAAGGTCACACACAAAGACCCTTTCTCAGCTAAAGTTCCTGATATAGTTGACCTTAACAACTTTCACGTTCATGAAAATGTCCTCCTTTCCTCAAATTTAACACTTGTAAATTCCTGTCTTTACTAGAAGAAGTGCTTATTCTTATTTTATCTCTATTCTGTCTCCTGGAACTTTGTCTCCACCAGGTCCTCTATAACATCAAGGGGAATGCCTGGTCCTCCATTATCCATCTGCAGTTCAGGCCTCTCCTGTGACTCCAGTTCTCATTCCACCTAACAGCATCCCAATGGACCTACAGGAACCTCAAACTTAATGTGCACACAGATTATATCATCTTGTTCCTAAAAATCAACTTTCTGGACTGTCTTTTTCCTATTAAGGACCAAACTATTCTTTCAATCATTCAATCTTAAAACTTATGAGCAATTTTGATTCCCTCCCTTTCTGTCTGTCATCCAAGCTACTGCAAGTCCTGTATCTCTTACCCTACCTTGTCATACTGGCTGCCAATCTACCCCAAGACTTTTCCCCAATACCTTACTATTTTGAATATCCTCCTGATCCAATCAGTTTTCTATACCATAGTTAAAACAATTGCCTTGGGAAAATTCTCCATGCTTCTTTGAAGAGCTTTCTTCTTCCAATTTTACCTTATGGTAAAGAATGATTCTTTTGTTTGTTTTTTGGAATTTTTCCTACTTGCCACAAAGCATACTTTATTATCTCAAGAATAGTGGGAACTTGGGCTGGGGTTGTGTAAATCAGTAGTAGAGTGCTTGCCTAGCACACATGATGCAYGGGGTTAATCCTCAGAACCACATTAAAAATTTAAACTAAAAAGAATAATGAGAACTCATTGAAGTCCTTTATTGAATCATTTCTTAAGATCAACCCTAAGAAACTTAACCACTCAATACTGGGCATTTAAAATGCCCACTAAGTTAAAAATATATTTCAATCAAAATACATAAAAAGTTGGCCTAGTAGTTATTTCAGGTAATGATGTCATATTTGTTTTGTTTGGCTGCACTAGTAGTGAGGATAAAACCCATTATTCGTGGTTTATTTGGTGATAGGAAGCTACATTCATCCACTTCAAGTTTGCTAATAACATTTCCATGGCTAGGGACTTTTGTTGGCTCTTGTGAATCACGTTTCAAAGCTATTGCCAWTACTGCAGAATGATTCTGCAATGGAATTATTCTTACCTGGAGCTGGTGGAAGTGTTGCTGGGCATCCTACGCAAACATAGAAAACTCATTAGTATCTGAAGTTCAGGAATAGTGTTGGGGATAGTTACTTAATTCATTATTCYATTGCTGGGGGTAAATGGCTAGGTAGCCAGTCTTACAGCTGTATTCTCATCTATTCTATCATTACTTTCTGCTCCTCATGGTATTTGARAGCCCACCATTACAAAGTGTTTCCTTTGCACTCCAAATTTTAATGGGACAGAAATATGAGAACAGAAAGGAGAAAACATGAAGATAAAATTTGCTTCAAAATTTTCTTGGAAAACAGTTCCAATGAATAAGACAATAAAATAAGAAAAATTCAGGTATAGAAAAATCTAATTATTACCTAATTTTAATTCTCTAGGAACTTTTCTCTTCTGGATCCTCTCTCCCTACCAAATGCTTTCTTTCTTTTCCTCCACCAAATGCTTTAAACTGGTTATATTTCTGTATCCTCTGGACCCTTCACATATCACTTATTTATATTAACCCAACAATCCACTCGTAAATCTTAAATTATATTTCAAAATCACCAAAACATAATTGGTAGGTACAATAAAAATAAGTCTGGACAGAAACAACAGAATACTTTAGAAGAACTTAAAAATGCTACATTTTTAGGTCAAGCAATTCCAACAACTAATAGCTACCAAAAATATAGATATGAGTAAAAGACGTGGAAGTTTCAGGTAGTAAATGTCTCTAGCTCTTTGACAAGGTAGACTATGCTAACTCCTAATCATAAATGTTTAGCAGAATAGAAACCAGTAATAGGAGAGAGATCAACAATTAGGCATAAGTACAGAAGAAAAGAACAATCTTCTAAACTGGGCATGGKGGCACAGGCCTATAATCCCAGCAGCTTGGGAAGCAGAGGCAGAAGGATGGCGAGTTCAAAGCCATCCTCAGAAATTTAGTGATGCTCTAAGCAACTCAGTGAGACCATGTCTCTAAATAAACTATAAAAAGGGATGGGAATGGGGTTCAGTGGTTTAGGGTCCCTGGGTTCAATCCTTAGTACCAAAAAAAAAAACAAAACAATCTTCTAATCTCCACATTGCTCTTAATTTCTCTAAAACCGTCTGATCATATCATTCTCTTGATAAAATTTGGAAAAGGATCTCATTACTTAAATAAGATTCTATCCTTTTAAGATTGAAAATAAAATCTTTCTACTTTCTAATCTCATTTCTTCCTTAGGCCTCCTTCCATCATTGCCAATAACTCCTTGATTTCTGAACTCACCTGTGTGGTGTTATGTCTGTTTTCATAGGCAATTGACAGGAATTCTCTCCCTGACCACCCAGTAAACAATCATCTCCTTTCTGAAGCCTTCATTCACAACTATAATAAGCAGACATGAACACTCTACTCTCACCCTGCTCTTCCGGAACCATGTTTTATACATATTTTAGGTTACCATTAAATAGACTATAATGATAAAGTCTATGCCCATAATAATCTCCCTCTTCCTTGACACACAAAAGATCATAAATGGCAAATACTATAATCTTCCTGATGGTTTTGCTCTTAAGTCTGCTACAGAGTCTAGCACAKAGGGGGCACTAAATAAATATTAGCTGGATTAGTAGCAGCACAGTAATTAGGTCTTCTCCCATACTGACCTGTTTTATTTTCAACTTCTTGATTCTCTGTTGCTACRACAGTGGTTTCTGAAGGGAGATAAAAGGATGGTATCATGATTTTTTAAAATTAGAATAAAAAKCATACATATCAAATCTGTGTGTGTGCATGCCCAAACAATGGCACAAATTCATAACACAAGGCACAGTGCTTCATATGGAATAGATAATTCCTTCTAGTTCATTCGGGTCAGTCCATTTTACCTGGCTGAGATACTTGTGGGCCTGTTGTGACTCCAGCTGTAACTGAAGTGGAACCTGCCAGAGGAAATAAATAGAAARTTTCATAACTAACACCCTTCGTMATCCCTTTCTCAGAAATCTCAAGCTTCATGAATGTCTTTAGGACAGGAGCCCTGAGAAAAAAGGCCACCCTAGCTGGACTTCAATGTTATGTCCTAATAGGAAGTTTAACTTCATCTTCCTGGCTCCTCTATCCCCACATTCACCTCCTAAAGTGTCATCAAAGCCATCCCAGTTAAGGAAAGGGTTGTGTAGCCAACATTCACCTGTTTGCACTGCAGTGCTTGAAGTTTCCTCGGCTCCGGTGGAAGCAGTGGCTGCTAATAGAGGAACAAGAGTGAGTGCCGAGGATTGAAGAAATGGGTTCACTTCAGATAATCTATCCTGTCATCAAGACGCCTCCAAGAAAAGTCCATGTGGGTGCATTTTACTTACCTGTGGTAGTAATTCCAGCAGTAGTTGTTTCAGATGATTCCTTGGGGGTACCTAAAATGAGCAAGGGAAGAACATGCAGGTTTTCTGATCTCCAAAGACCAAGTCTATTAAGACACCTCCACATGCAGGAAGAGTCTCCAAGCTGACGGAGTGCACTAATGCATTTCACGYGAGTTCAAGCCTTGGCCACAGAAACGTTAAGAGTTCTCCCTCTTAGTTGCTCACAGAGGTGGATCCAATGTTACTTTGATCCCAATAAGTTTTTTACTTGTAGGTCCCTCTTCTCTAAGTGGCAAGAGCTTTTCTCTCACTTAATTCTTTTACTTCATGTAACTTGGTTTCCTGGTTCTCTTATAGTAGTTTGGGGTGAGGGAGAGAGAAGGTATAAAAGAGTGAGAGAAAATTAAAAAAAAAAAAAAAAAAAAAACCACATCTTGGTAGACCAAGATGACCTCATGTTCCTCTCGGCTTGATTAAACTTTAGGCATGTTTCTTCCTAGCAGCAGGCTCCAGACTTGGAAGAGGAGGGGACAATGCGAGGAATGTCTTTTTTCCCCTCCTTCAACAGAGACTGTAGTTTAGGACAGATCCATGTGTTTTTGTGAAACAAAGTATTCCTTCTCCAGGATTCCTTGTACCAAGCAGTGAAATGATGTGTTTTCCCTGTTTGGTTATATATATTTTTTTTTGTAGTGAACTTTAGTTCTCTGGGATCCTTCTCTTTGAGTTCTTCCCCTGGAGATGGGAATCTTACCCCCAGCCTTACCTTTTTCAATTCCCCTTGTTGACCTGATTCGCTTCTGAACCTTGGAATCATATTGGTGACACATGAAAACTAAATACTGGGAAGGACTAAGAATCTTGATATTTTAATACTTTCAAGACGGTTTCTCCCTTTCAATTTTACTGCCATGAGACTAAGTACTCTAAAAAATGAATCTTATTTAAAAATGGGTCCTCAGAAARTTTTTATTGATCTTGTTTAATCTGAGATTCTGAAGCTCCAAATTAGAGGCAGCATGGTCTCCTAGTACATGCCAGCACTCCAACACTGTGAGATAATGGCAAAAGCACACTGGCAACTGTTAAGCAGAAACATGCGTGCTCCCCCCCACCCCCGGCACCTTTGCCTTGGCCATGCTTTAGGTACTAGTGAACCCAAGAAACTGTTTTAAATAATCACATAGAATGAAAAAAACAAAGTCATCAGCACCCATGGTTTCAAATATCATTTGATTCCTGTCCCCCATTGAGTATTTACTTCTGGGAAGCTAAGTCCTAACAAAGATGTGGTTAATGTAATMTTTAGTTCAGGAAATTCCACAGCATTATTATGACTAACCTTAATTGATTCAATAAAAAGTTATGTCCTATCAGATAGGACATGAGATTGAGAAAGTGAAATGGAAGGAAAGAAAGATCAATAGATCACAAGTCACAGTAGTGATTGTTTTGCCTTGAATAGMGTGGATTTAGACTAATTCAAATTGTTTCTTATAAGCAGTCTCTTAATGCAAGAGAAACAAACACCATGCTTTTTTTTTTTAAATCCCTCAAACCAATAGATGGCAAAATTCTCAGCCATTTGCTATAGTTTAATACTTTGGAAATAAGTGCTTTATCTCTGCTCACCTGTGTTACTTCCTGTGACTTGCTTCTCTGGTGCTTCTGTAGAAACTCCTTGGATTTGGGGGAGGTAAAAACTTTTTAATTAAATTTGTTAGGACCTTAGTATTGAGGACAAATCCACAGGAAAGTATAAAAGCCATAAGAGAAGGCTAAATGGGTGACTACTAACCAGGACTGGAATTTTCTGGGCGCCTAGAAACTGTAGTTGAACCTGAAGTAGTACCTACAAAAGCAAGATGGATTAAGAGTAACAAGTTATATTTAGCTTCATATAATCACATTTAAAAGGCTGGTGAAAATCAGTGTAGAGAGCAAAAGAACCAAACCTGATTCACCTGACAGATCATCTTCAAGTGAAATACAAAACACTTCTCCAGCCCCTCACTCATCCATCATCTACCATAGTCTTAGAACCCAAAAGGCTGAAAGAACAAACCACTCACCAGTTTCCAATTTTACTCCAGTGGTAGTGATGACTTCTGTAGAAGTGGTAGCCCCTGAGAAGAAATAGGAGAAAGTGGTATAGAATATGGACATTTTGAGAAATCTGTAACTGTTACTTTATGTAATATGCCTTTGAAGTTCAGAGACAAACTTCTCCCAATTCTTTCATGACTCACGTGTGTTGGAACTCCTGGRAGCAACAGTTGTACCAGTAGTTATCCCGGTGGTGGTAACTGAAATCACAAAAGGAGAAGATCACCTTGTTAATTCCCTTTTACCTAAAATTAGGATTTGTTTCAGAATAAATTTGAGTTTTTCAAGTGAACTAAAACAAACTTTCTTGCCTTAAGTGGTATATCACATGTGGTCTCAATTATGCCACTTTATTTCAAACAGAAAGGGCAATTCACCTGGGGTAATGTCTTAACATTCTGATAATTTTTACTAAAAGACATCTTGAGTATAATACCTGCTGTATTCATTATAGCCAATATAATTCAAGATGAAGAAAATATTTGATGGTTAGTGCTTACCTATACTAACTTCAGCTTCTGTGGTTTTGTCATGTCTTAAAGTTATGGCCTCTAAGAATTGAAAGGAAAATCACAAAACTCAGAAAAGTTTGGTATCTCCAACTAGGAATGTGGATGTTTTAGGGGAGGGGTATCTTATTATTGAAGCTCCTTATATTCCTTGTTAGGTTATTGATTTACCTGTGTTGGAACTTTCAGATGGAATTGTGCCAGAGACCACTTCAGTGGTACCTAAAGTAGAAGAAAGGGAGAGAAGGAAAATCAATTTGGTTTACACTTACCATTCCAAGAATATGACCAACAATGACTAACTCAAAAGCAATAGAAAGCCTTTTTGGGGTTCACCTGTGATGCAAAGTACGTTCTGCATTTTTAAATTCAACGTCACAATGAACACATTAAAATGTGGTCTAGTCTTAAAGTTTTACTTCCCTGGGGTTAAATGTTAGAGGTCTCAGGGTCTTCCCTACATTTACCTGTTTCACTTTCAGAGCTTGGTCTCTCAGAGTTGCCAGTGGTAGCTCCTAATGACAAAAATATTTGTGTCAATGCATACAGCAATATTCAATGAATAAACTTATAACACCAAGAGTCATTCCCATCACCTCTGCTCCTCTAATAGAACTCGATGAATATGGATTGCCGCCATTTGGGACTTGGGTAATAGCTTGAATGTCAAAAGGGAAAATCTTTTTGGACTCTGAACCTCTTCAAAATTATAGTTTATGATCTGCCCCCAAAAGAAATGATATAATTTTCACAAGCTTCATCTAACAAATGTATCCATGAAAAGGCTAAGGCCAAATATAAATCGGTGGGATCTCAAGAGTTGCCAATTCCATTTTCATTGGTTATGCTTCCTTCTACAGGAGTTGTGCCTTTGTGAGAGTCAACAGGAAGAAAGTAGGGAGGGCTAATGGAAAGTGATAAAAAGCTATAGTGCAATACTTGCTCCAGAGCCAGCCCCACAAAATAAATATGGCACCTGTTCTTCATTAACATTCCTGACTAACCTGTGTTGGAATTTCCAGGTGAGGTGTTGCTGCCAGAAACCGCTCCAGTAGTATCTAAATGTAAAATGGAAGGGTATCATTATGTCAATTTCATTCCTATCAGAAGGATGTATGCTAGAATAGGAGGGAAAAATTATAGCAGCTTTTATTATAGGGAAAGACCATTCTCAGGGAATGTTTGTTCCAAAGTTGTTTTGATAATGAAGCTTTAGGCAAAAACTCAAAATGAACTTGGTTGGTGGAGGATGCAGTAGGGGTGGTCTCTGTGTTAGGGAAATAAAGTAATCTTTCTTTCCTCTTCTGGCTGAATACCAATTCCTTGGCTACCAAAACTACTTTCAGTAGAAGCAGCAGCAAAGCAGGAATTGATTACCTACTGAGTTTGGGTATATTTGGGTAATATACTGCTGTTATAGAAATTTTAGCATTCTAGAAAAGTTGAGACAAGAAATATTAATGAGCAAGTTAATATCTCTGAGCCACAGGTTTTCTCATCTGTAAAACCTGACAAGAATCATATTCACCTCACAGTCAAATAACAATRGTGTAGAATAGTTGCAACTTGCGAATAATTTTGTTGTGCATCACTGTTGAAAGTGGGGAGGTTAAGAAGCTTTTATAATCACCTGTATTCTTTCCAATTCCTGTGGTTTTACTGACTCCTGAGGATGTTGTAACTTATAAGAGAGAAGAAAGGTAGAAAAATATAAGGTGACAAGGCTTTAGTATTTAAAGAATATACTTTTCTTGAGAGCTATACTATGAGAGAGACAGGTCATCCTGTGGAGATTCTTGCTAATTTGTTGGCTCACCTGTATTTGAACTCCCAGGTGCCAGTGTGGTGCCAGAAGTTGTCTTCGTGGGTTCTGCAACAAGAAAGAAAATGGCAAGTTTTTCTCAAGTTGGGRAGGGACAAATGTGGGAGGAAACTGGTTAATCTGGTAAGGTTTTTCAACTGGGAGTGAATTAGTTGTTTACTCATGCATAGCTTTTTTTAACAAGTCAAAGAAATATACAAATTTCTTAACACTGGGACSCACCTTTTCTGGAATTTAATGGCAGTAAAACAAGTGGCCCCTTTTCCTGCCATATTTACCTACTGTGCTTCCAGTTCCTTGGTTTACTGTTTCTTTGGTAGCTCCTGAAAAGATGAATGTGGGAAAACTTTTCAATATAAAGGTAGACTTGAGTTATAACCTCCACATATTTTAGTCACTATGTGCTTAGTGAAGAATCTACCATAATGAGGTAAATTTTTTGTGTTCAACTTGGGTTTCTATTTACCTGAAATAGTACTCTTTGAGACCGTATTTCCTTCAGGTGATACTGTGGTGACACCTGAGCGTACAAATGGAAAAGAAAAATTTCCACATAATTATTTCCACTCACATTTTCAGAGATCTATTTATGTCAGGCTGGGCCATTTCTGCAAAGACTTCAGAAAATCTTCCCAAATTGACTCAAAATCAAGTGACAAAAGAAAGCATCACTGATGTTAGATGAGAGTTCCTAAACATAACTCTTCCCCATGAAATTATTTCACCAAAAAGTAAAGAATAATTCTAATTTATCACCGAAAAATCACACACACATCATTAATTCTCATCTGTTTTCCATCCTAACAAAGTGGTTCTACTGACTCCTGTGGAAGCTATGGCTTCTGGAAGATAGAAGAAATGGGAACCGATAAGAATTTAGGAAGTGAATTACAGTAGATGGGGTAGAGAGAGAAGATGGGAGGGGAGAGCAGGGGGGATAGTAGAGGATAGGAAAGGTAACAGAATACAACAGTTACTAGTATGGCATTATGTGAAAATGTGGATGTGTAACCTAACCGATGTGATTCTGCAATCTTTGTAATGTTTTGAATAACCAATAAAGAAAAAAAGAATTTAGGAAACTGTATTGTTATGTTCTCACATGAGAAAAGCAATGCAAAAGATATTTCTGTGACCTTATTTCCAAAAAGGGAAGTGTCTTCTTGCCTTGTTAACCTACCTGTACTAGAACTTCCAGGTGCAACAGATGTGCTTAGGGTCACACCAGTAGTGCCTGAAACAAAAAGGCCATAAAATCAACATAAGAATCATCCACATTCAGGTAACCTTTTAATAAATGTTTCTTGGGCTGCATCATCCCGCAGTCCTGCACTGGACAGCTCTGGGAGACACCAGTGTTCTCTTAGAACACTTTGTCTATGTGGCAGTTCTAGGGGCATGTCCTTTCACTGATCTTTCTGCTCCTGGATTCAATCATGTATTTTGCCTGCATATCAATTATTCAATTTTTCCAGTAAATATTTACTGAGTCCTGTTTAGTAGTAGGCATCAGTGAACAAAATAAAAAAAATAATTTTCTCAGGAACACCATCTTAGCGTAGGCTTGCTTAACATATATAAGGTACAATCCTCAAATGGGAGACAGAAGAATTTGTTTAACAAATTTACCTCTTTGACTTCCAGTGACTTGTTTGTCTGATGCTCCAGAGGTGGTTTCTGATGATTGAAAGAAAATGATTCAAGCATGTTTTGACCTTTAATCAGTGAACTGACCTTTAATCAGTGAACCGACCCTTAAGCAACATATTTAAAGAAGTCAAATGGGAGGCAATCAATTTTTTTATTTCACTTTAAGTCTCCTGTTTATCGGAGTCTGGACCTTCTAGACTAGCATTCACTCTTGCTAATACTGCAAAATAATACCTATAATTTCCAATGGGTTAACTGTCCAGCAAATCGCTTCTGCTACCCTCTCCAGAAACCTATACCAAAAGGCCAGGCACTGAAAATGACTAGTACAGAAACTGTCTTAGTGGTGTGTGTGTCAGCAGCATGGTTGGCCTGAGTATGGGCTGGGGCACCTGCCCTTCCTGTAAAATAATCTTTTGTATCCAGAAGCAAATTCCTGAATGTTTTCGATGATAGTGCTAACATCTGGGACCTCTAGTTCTCACTGATTTCATCACAGTAGCAATGATGGTTTCTAAGTAAACTTTGGCCTCTGGAGGAGGAAATGAAGAAGGCAGAAAGCGCATTTGRGGATGCATATTTCTCCTTGAGGTTAAATAATTGTTACTATTTTGAAAATATTTGTTTACCTGTAATGGAAGTCCCAGGTGCAACAGTTGTGTCAGAGACTACACCACTGGTACCTGGAATCACAAGGAAGAAGAGATTGTCATTTCCTTTATATTTTTTAATATATACTTTTAAGGCCTAATTCTAGGATTCCTCATACGATTTCCAACAAGTGCATTTTTTTTTCACAAATGTAGGAGAGGTGCAAAAATCTAAGCTCTCACAAGAGAGGTCTCCTTATTCTGAAGTTTGGGAAATATTTGTAATTTTTCATGTTTGATTATCAGAAACTTGATCCCCACATACAGAGTTCTTGACTATTGAAGAAAAGATAATATGTTGAATGTTAATGTAATGATTTGGGAACAGCACTGATATTCTGAAATTTGGAGACCCGAACAAAAGTTCCCTTAGGTTGAAATAAATACAGAATGATTTCTACCTTTAAAATTGTTAGAAGGAATTTACTAACTGCCTATTTTTACCTGGGACTGTTATTGCTTCACTAATTGCTAAGATAGTTGTGGCCTCTGAAAAAGGGAGGAAATAGTAGTGAGGACAAAGATTTGAAGTATCTGAGAAAAGTATGATAGGATCAACTGGTGAGACAACTTACTGAGAAGCTACCCAAACAGTGGTCCTTCCCAGCTTGTTGACTTACCCGAGTTGGAGCTCTCATGAGCAACTGTTGTAGCAGAGGTTACTACAGCAGTGCCTAAATAGGGAAAAAGAGAGAACAAGGTGACATTCTCCTAACTCTTAGGCATATTGTTGAGACATTCTTCTGTGCCTTGGAAGAGCAAAAGATACTTCCTGTACTCATAACTGACATGAGGAGACATCTTCCATGTCCACAAGCTGCTTTTTCAAGACCAAGGGTAATGTAGTGACTAACATCCCTACTGATTATTTCTTTTTCCCAAGCTTGAGGGTTATAGCAAAGGCATTTCCCATGTTTACCTGTCTTACTTCCTGGTGCTTTGGTGGTGGCTCCTAATTTAAAAAGAAAAAAAATGGTAAGAAAATGTATTTTGAATTTTAATTTTGTCTTTTTCTTTATAAACAATAGTACAAATGTCATTTCTGGATTTTTTTTTTCCAGTGCTGAGGATCAAACCATTGGCTTTACATGACTGAGCTATACCCCTAGCTGAATTTTTATGATAACCGAATGATCTCTATGCTGAATAGAAGTCAGTAATGTTATATAGATAAAGCTCTTTTTAAAGGGGAAACCATTTCAGAGCCAGGACTATTGTAAATCTTCTCTCCAGTGATCTAGAACCCTGATGAGGTTAGTCTCCAAGAAGGTAAAGACTTTTAGTTATCTGTGCCCAAGTAGGTCCAAATTAARAAAGAAATCCTGGTTCCCTTGAAATAACAGCCTTAAAAAACTCTTCTCCATGTTAAAGAAATTTTCTGTAATTTAAAATTATTAAAAAGATTTTAAAAAATACCAGCTTTCTCTAATAAATCTATCAACCTGGCATCACACTACAGCAAAATTAATGAAAACCCCATGATTTCACCTGACTTTATTTCTGCTCCAGTGATGTCACTTCTTCCAGAGAAAGTTGTGATCTCTTAAAAAAGTAGAGAATGCCAAATAAACTAGGTACTGAGGAAGAGGAATGAGCTAAGGTGATGTTACCAAAAGTGATGAGCACAATTGAAAATTCCTTGTCATAGGTGAAGTCAGAAAATGAAGCCCTTTTTATTGTCAAAACTCAATGCACAAGTTTAATTGTCTAAAATTGAGGATTAAATATTTTTGACTTAATAAAAATGTCTTTCAACAAATCATAACCAAAAGCAAATTGATAATTTTTCCAATTTGAGGTATTTCTGCATAGGATTTGATAGAAGGAATACTAAATGCTTTTCTTTAATGTTTCCCCAATTGGTGTAATGATCCTTACTGTACAATAGATAAGTATAAAAAAAGTTTAATAAGTGAGCTGAAAACTTTGAATATCAGAGCAAGTAAATTTTTATATATACACATGCATGTGTACTGGTTCCATGGGGTGTCTCCCCCTCTCTCACASCCACACTGAATTCTACAGTTTTCAGCTAAATACTGCTGATTGAGAGTTGTAGCACCTGCAGAGAAACTATCAGATTTGGAGCAGTCAAGCTTAATGCTTAGATTTTTCAAACTTATTTTGATTTACTTGAAGCAGCTCTAAATATAATACAAACTCTCTCAAGGATTAAGTTTAGAGAGTCCCAATGCCAATGATCTCAAATCACGGGCCATTGTATTCTCACCAGTTTTGAAACTAGTTCCAGTAGTTCCAGTCTCTTCTGTAGATGTTGTAGACTCTGAGGGAAGAAGTAAGAGAATGATAAATCTGGGACTGTGGAACACTAGGAGGAGCTAGTGCCATTTTATCATAGCAGCCCTAAAGGAAGTATCATGGCATCTGAGGTTCAATTAAAGGCATTTTCTTCTTGTTAACCTGTGTTAAAATTGCAGGTATAATCTTTTTTTTTTTTTCCAGAAAATTTTCCAGTGATACTTAAAATGCAAAAAAAAAAAAGTAAACCATAAGGCATCACTTCTCCAATTAATCTTGGGAGCATCTGTGTGGCCTTAAAGCACCGGATGCCCTTTCCACAGAACAGTTTCTCTCAAAAAATAATGGAAAATAAACAACTGCCTAGTGTTCCATTCCCCAGGCCACCTGAGGGTAGATATACTGCTACTGGGTTTCCCTTTTACTATGCAGCAGGGGGAAGGATAGGACTTTAGATCATTGTTTCACTTCCAGGGATATATACCCCTAGAATGCCAGAGGAGAAAATAAAGTATGGTTTTAATATTTGTAGGGGGWTTCTAATAGTTCCTTTGTGAAGCATTCTAGTAAGAAAAATAGAAAACAAACACAGAATAAATGAAAAAAAATGATAATGTGAAAAACTATGGAAGAAAAGTTAAATAGATGAGAACTGGAAGTCAAAGGAATATATACAACATGCTCTCATATTTTTTCAAAAGAAAAAGTCTCTAAGCCAGGATCCTGAGGACAGCCTGGCAGACACTCCCCAGGCCATGGAATTCCYGAGCAGAATAACTGCTCAGATTGTTGGGGCACAATGTGGCCCCAGAGAGAATTCTGGCCCCTCCGGCATACTATTCATTCACTACAACAACCCAAATATAGATGAGGAGAGCCCTAGACCTCAACCTGGAAAGCTTACCAGACAGATCTGCTTGAGTGGTCCTGTGGTCTCCTGCAAAAGTTGTGGCCTCTGAGAGAGAAAACAATGGAAGTTATAAAGACTGCACAGAATGTAATGGGGGTCTAATAGAATACATTCACCAAAAGGTTATGTTCAGGRTTCCTGACCTGTGTTGGCACTTCCAGGTTCCAGAGTTTTGCCAGAGATTCCCTTTGTAGTGACTAAAATAAGAAGACCATTGTGGTTATTTGGTCTATTCACGATCCTTCATAAAATGGGTATAAATTCTTGAAACAAAACTTTGTTTCTTCAAATATAGCAATACATTTTTATATTTGAGCTTTATATATTTAAGATGTAATTATACTTTTGTACACTATTCCCTTCCAAGTTTAGAGAGAAAGTCCTCCGCTACCAGTTCCTTTTGTACAGTTTCGTTATAGRGAGGTGAATTTAGACCCAAATCATATTCATACATGTCAGGAAATGAGCCCTATAATCCCCTTATGAACGGTCCTGAACAAAAGACATGAGAAGGAAATGTTAAACATTTCTGAGCTGTATTTATTGATATCAAATGTTGGGCTGATATTTTTAATATGGCAAATGGAAATTTGTATGTTTCAGGCAAGACTATTGGAACATCATTAGAAAGTATAGTTTGTGCCTCAACAGAGCTCACCTGTGATTAGTTCCTCTCTCGGTGTTTCACCTTCTCCTATGGAAGTTGTAGCTTCTAAGAAGGGGTAAAATGAGATAGATAATTGGGAAGCCATGGTAGTTCTCCCACACAGGGGAACATGGAAGGAAAAATCTCATTGAAGAGGGACTTGTGGAAGATTCTCTGGCACCTTAATGACTTACCTGTGTTGGAACTGCTAGGGGCTACAGTTGTAACAGGGGTTACCCCAGTGGTGGCTGTAAAACAAAGGGTCTGAAATCATCACACTGGTTCACTGTGTTTGTCTCCTTAAGAACTTTTTCTAGAAAGAAGCTTGGTATAGCATTTGCAAAGAGCTYTTTCCTTGCCTCCTAGTCAGATGAGAACTCTGTGCATCTCCTATGACCCATATCATTAAAGCAATCAAAWTAGGTAAATCTTCCTCCAAGGAATAGAGTATGCTTTAGCTCCCCTAATACCTTTGTAATGCATATATTATGGAAGACAGCCTTCATTCCAACTACACAACCAGCCAAGCTTAAGATACAGGTTTGAGGCTAGATGCTGATAATAMGACCTTTTCCAGAATATGTTCTGTATAAGAAAATACCTAATGTAACTGAGAAYCATTCTGCAGAAAAGTATATCTCCAAACAAGTGAGCCTATGGAGAGTCATAATTTATACTAAACCCCATACGGTAGTCTGTTCAGCTTCACCTGCTCTGGATCCGTTCTCAGAAGTACTGCTGCTTTCTGTTGAAGTTATTGCTTCTAAGGGATGAAATGATGAAAATGRTAAAGTTTGGGAATTGGGGATCCTGAGATAATAATTATACTAATATATCATCTGAGCAGGTCTACTAACTATGTTATAAAGTTAAATAAATATGATAGCCTTCTCATTAACCAACTTGTGTGGAAACTTACAAATATAAGGATCGACCTAGAGAACTCCCCTATAGTACCCAACACCCACCCACCCACACACACACACACACACACAAATGGATCACCATAGCATTAAGTTCTTGATCAGTATCCTAAGTAGCTACATGAGCTGATACCATGGGAAGACCTTTCCTGAGAAGGTCTGCCTCTGAGAGAAGAGACACATGAATAACTACGATTTTATTTCCTAGCCTACCCATCAATCACTGTTACTCTCCAGGCTCTCTTCATACAGCCCACTAAACATGGAAGAGTATCTCATCTCCCCCTTACCTGTTTCAGTCCCAGGTTTCCCTGATGTGACTGAGGTAGSTTAAAATAAGAAAAAAGGTAGATGATGGATTCATCTTTCTTATTTTTAYTTATCTACTACTTGCAGTATTTTGATATACTGGTATTTCAAAGAGAACTTCTAAACTCTAAAACTTTCAAATGATGATTTTATCTGGTCTAGCTTGGAACTCTGTGTACTACTGATGACTCCAGGTAAAAATCACAGTGGCATCCATTAAATAGATGGAAAAACTTTTAAAACTGTACATTTTTAACCATATCTTCTCTGCACTATTKATGTATCATTAAGCAAAATATTCAAATATCTCTTTCCTAATGTAGTTCACATTTTGCCAACCGGAGACAGCAAAGAACAATCATGCATTAGATGTTAGTAAATTCTGTGGGGGGAAAAGGCAAGTTGCATAAAGATGGGGGTCCTGATAGCCAAGGTATGACTAGCAGGTTGCTCTCCTCCCTGCTGTCCAGAGCAGATAGCTCTGCAAACTCTGGTTCCTGGAAATCCAGATGGAAAAGGACACTGCTGCTAACCCCAAGTGAAACTATGACAGTACCCATTGAAGTGAACAGTGTCACACTCAAACTAAATTTTTTAAGCATTTCCTTAGCGTCTTCTTGCATGGGGAAGAACAAACAKCTGTGTTTCATGTGATTTGTATTTGCAAAGGAAGGAACACAGAAAATAAACAAGCATAATATATGATAGATGGTAGCACATGATAAGTACACTATTCTGAGGAATCATAATGAGCAGAGTGGAGATAATGGGGAGTAGTGAGCATCTTCTATAGGTTGGTGAGCCTCATCCAGGTGTCCCAAAAACTAGCTCAAATAGAACACAGAAGAAATACCAACTTGGATAACCATGTTTCTCAAGTTCCTTAGAARAACTACCTGAGGTTGTCAGATGAAGATATCATGCTTCCTGACCWGATGTAACCCTCTTTCTTTAACCCACCTCCATATTTATTTAAGGACACAAAACAGGGAAATGATAAGCTTTGTTAGTACAAGACCTAAGAGTTCTTACCTATTGGCCCTTCAGATTGGCTGGTCTCACYTCCTCCTGTGGAAGTTGTGGCCTCTGAAAAAAGAAGCATTATAAAGTCTGGAATATGGGGAAATACATAGTTATAGTACCTTAGGAACACATTACCTGATAAAGCACTTGGGGAACCTCTCACAATTGCTTTTGACTCACCTGTGTTGTCATTCCCAGGTTCCAGAGTTTTTCCAGAGACTACACTAGTAGTAGCTGTTACAGAAAAATATTCATGGGTCATTTCCTTCTCATCATAAGGTAGCAAGCAAATATAAATAAAAATCTATGTAATTGTTTACTATTTCAATAAACTTGGCTTTAAATGACAGAAGATGATCTGTATGTTCTTCATATAATATTGTTCCCACCAAAAATCTACCAAAGGAATTTTTAATTATTGTATCCACTTCTGTAGAATTCAGTAACAGAGAAAGACTCTCTCTGGATCATCTGTGTAACTGTCAAATAGTTGCATGATTTCATTCAGGGGGAGCATGGAGGAGAGTCTGCTAAAACATCAGAAATAATGAAACTTTTAGTTCATGAACTTTAGTCAATGAACAGTGGTGATATTTTTTATAATAAGTTTGAATAGGGGAGAAGTGAGTGATTTGGATACATTTCACCAGTTTTTGAGTATTGTTAGAAATGAATGCAATGTCCTACCAGTACTCACCTATGGCTGTTCCCCCTCTTGTTGCTCCAGTTCTTCCTAAAGAAGTTGTAGCTTCTGAAAGGCAGAAAACAGGGTAAACATTTGGAAAATATTCCAAGCCCATGAAAAAAATGATATTATTCCTATAAAGWATAACACCAGAGGAGAAATCTCATTATGGGAGGATGACTGAAGAGCTCCCTGACAACCTGAGACTCACCTGTACTGGAACTGCCAGGGGCAACAGTTGTGCCAGGAACCACCCCAGTTGTGGCTGAAACACAAAGAGGACCATGGTTACCATGGCACTCAGTGTTTTGTTCCTAAAGCTCTGCCTCTAGAAAGAGGTTAAGCTTGTCTTCATCATGGCTAGTTGGTTTAGTCCTGGGTTCTTGCCTGATATATTTTCTCATTAATCATTATAATAAGAAAAACAATGAGAGTGACAATTTTCTCAACCTTCCAGGCATTCCGAGTCAGGGAGACAAGGAGGGTTTCTCCCACACACCCGTGTTACTCCTAGTGACTTGGCACTCTGATGCCACAGTGGTACTTGCTGTGGCGGGGACACAATGGAAGGTTTCAATGTGCTGAGAACTCCAGACATTGTGAACATATCTGGCTCTTCATTTATGMAAATCAAACATTTGTACAGTGTAGTTGTGTTTCTTGGGTTCTTGTAGCTCCTCTATATTTCTCAGGAATAGGAAATTTCATCACCCTTTCCCTCTCAAAAGGTTGTGATATTTGTGATTCCACAACATAAATCACTCAGAACAATTAGTGTGACCATCATATCTGATCATAAGAATTATAACTGTTATTCTGGACTCATATTGAAAGCTTTTCAGGAAAATTTTCAAAATAGAAAAGGAATTAGTTGACCAAAATCTTCAGTAATTAGTAAATATATCTCCAGAAACTTCTCTTTGCATGCTCTTCTAGGATTGCYGTGATTCACGATAACCACAAAGACATGAGTTTCTGCCCCTCACCTGTTTTGAATCCAACTCTGGTGGTGCCAATACCTTCTGTGGAGGTTGTGGCCTCTGGAGGAGGAAGTGGGACAACACTAAGTTCTGGGGATTTGGGATAATGGGACAAGTTATTTTATACTATTTTTATTAGAGTAGCCCTACAAAAATACATAATTTCCTGTGAATGTCTGTAGAGATGATTTCTTGTTATTTCAACTCTGTTAGACATTTCTAATTGAACAGATGTCTCAGAGCCTACTCCAGTGATATTTAAAAACAAGACAAAATAAATACAGCAATCTGTCCCAATCCATCATGGAAGCATAATGGCCTTACAATGTAAGATCATCCATGAGGATTTAATGCTCCAAATGACAAATCAAGAATGTCACATTCTCATGTCMTCTCAGCTGAAAATTCATAGCTGCCTTTAAAATGAACATCTCTAGACTCTAGATGTTATGCATTTTTTACTTCTTGTTTCATGTTTCTCTGGAGTATCCAGAGTGACTGTAGAGGGAGGAAAATCGGAGATGAATATTTTTTCTAAATATCACTTGTGATACTTTGGATATTTAACATGAAATATAYATCTTGGGTTCTTATAACATGCACACATAACACACGACATGCCCAAAACATTCATTGAAGAGTAAAATCCAGATTGGACTTCACTTATGTAACATTACCTGTGTTGGAAACTTCCGAAGTGCTTTTGACTTCAGGAAACACAATGGTGGTATCTGTGAAAAGAAATTTCATGAACTAAGCATAGTGAGAAATTCAACTCTGGCTACCAGGATCGGGACTCAGGAATACTGGGCTGAAGCACCCGAATGCAGGCAGATCCAGAGGGATTAACACTCGARTTTGGCCTAGCATGGGGTGTCCTTGAGAAAATGTCATCAGTCCCAAATAATGGAACCCACAGTCTCAGAACAATGCTTACCTCCTGGCAGTTCTGTTCTAGTGGTCCCTATGCCAGTTGTGGCTCCTAAGAGATAAAGGAAGGAAAGGAGTTAAGAACTAACATAACTGAGCTACTATATCATTTAAATGACCGCCTCCTGGATTCCTCAGTATGTGGTGATTTACTTGTGATGTAATGTCCAGGTTCCCAAGTTTTACCTGAGACATTACCAGAAGTTACTAAAATAATGAAGAAATGGTACTCATGCCAAGCTTGAGCATTGCTATTTAAAATTCTATATTTCCTACCTGTATTAAGGAGTTCCTTTGAGCTTTTATAAAATTTTATGTGACAGCAGAATGCAATACAATTCATATTACACATATAGAACAACTTTTCATATCTCTGATTATATACAAAGTAGAGTCACACCATTCATGTCTTTGTACATGTACTTAGGATAATGATGTCCATCTCATTCCACTGTCTTTTCTACCCCCATGCTCCCTCCATGACCCTCCCTTCCCTTTGCCCTATCAAGAGTTCATCTATCTTCCCCTCCTAATCACATTATGAATCAACATCCTTATATCAGAGAAAACATTTGGCATTTGGTTTTTTGGGATTGGCTAACTTCACTTAGCATCATATTCTGCAACTCCATCCWTTTACCTGCAAATGCCATAATTTTATTCTCTCAATGCTGAATAACATTCCATTGTGTATATATACCACATTTTCTTTATCCATTCATCTATTGAAGGGCATCTAGGTTGGTTCCACACTTTAGATATTGTGAATTGTGCTACTAAAAACATTGATGTAACTATGTCCCTGTAGTAATGCTGTATTTAAGACCTTTGGGTATAGACCAAGGAGTGGAATACCTGGGTCCAATGGTGGTTCCATTTCCAATTTTACAAAGAAACTCCATACTGCTTTCTATATTGGCTGCACCTGTTTTCAGAATTAATGCATATGTTTCCTATTTAGCATTTCTTTCCCATAGCAAATTTTCTGATAAAGTTCTAGACTCTTGATCTCTTTAAGCTTTAGTTCCAGGAAACAAGTTTCTCAGTGTTGTTTAATAATATTTTGTAGGAGGCCTTGGCTTCTAACTGAGCGCTTTTATTGGGCCCAACAGAGTAAACCAAYGAAGAGTTTAATCACAGTAACCAGTAATGAAATTCTGGTTGGTTGCAGAAGCTTGGTAGTCATAAACAGTTGACTGGTTAAAACAGAAACAAACAAAGTTATTTACTATTTCTTTCATTTTTCCATAAATCTTTCCGATTATGTTGTTAGAGTTCTTAGAGTCTGCTCTGGATCAGGGAGCTGATTGATTCACTAATCATGTCTTTTGTTTTGCTCAAATAAATTTTACTAAGTATATTTGGTCAAGGAACTTTTCCTTTTCACAGTACCCCTGTATCTATCTGCCTGCTAGAGACATCATTGCCTAGTACCTTTATGGATTCTCTGGGGTAGAACAAAATTTCAGGGTCTTAATTCTTGTTAACTATTATTCAGTAGCTGTTTGTCATTTACAAAAGTACTTAAGATGGAGGAATAAGATGGTGTGGCTACATTCTAGAAAATACTATTTAATGGGGAAAAGTGCAGTTAATGACTTTACAGTCTCAGTTGGGACTATTCCATTTCCTTGGAGGGGTGTGGTAGCCTCCGAGACAGGAAAAGAAAGATATGGTTGGAAAAATGTCAAGTATTCTGGATTAGTATAGGTATGATCTGGTCTAGAAATRAAATCTAAGGAAGTATCTCCTTCAGAGAAGTCCCCAAAGAAAAAATCCACCCAGCTTTTCCTCACCTGTGTTCAAACTTCCAGGGGCTAGAGTTGTGCCAGTAACACCTGAAACAAGAGCCCAGTGGTCACTTCAGTGAATCATTCTGCCATGAGAAGAACCCCATCTACATTCCATGTATGTTTTCCTTTGTTACAACAGATAGCCTTTTGGAGGCACTTTGCAGATACATAATCCTCTGAGTTTTTCCCTTTGGACTGTTCCATCCCTCAAACGTATAGAGTGACTTTGTCAGGAGATACAGAAAAGGACATCTAGAACAAAGATTAAAGATGATTTTCTCTCACGTTTACCTGGTTTATTATCAGGCTTATTCTTAGTTCCTTAGCTCTCTGCTTCAAAAGGGATTTTGCATGTGCTGACTACTACTCCTGGTTAGTGGAATCAAGGAATCTGAACAAGATCTTTACTAATGGTTGGGATTTGTCTGTTAGAAATCTAGGAAAAGTCACATCAAGGAGAAGCAAGGTTTGGGTAAATACAGAAAAATGTTGCATAAATATAGAATAAAAATAGCTGTAAAGTTAGCTTGAATTACAAGCTAAATTTGAGAAAATAAATTTCAAATGACTAGTTGGTAAAATAAATTCTTAGAAACTTTATAACACTATCAACAAATAATTCGGTGATGCCAAATATTGGTATGAATATGTGAAAGAACATAATGAGAAATAAGTTTGGGAAGTAGATTAGTACTCAAATGATGGACTAAGGGATTTAGAATTTATTTGAAGGACAGTGGGTAGCTACTAAAATATACTGATGTCGGGAATGACATTAGCAGAGATAATAATATAGAAACACTGAACACTACTGCACCTGACAATAGAGAAAACTTGCCTCAATACTCCAGACTAAAGGTTAGTGTGGGTATGGATGCAGTAACTCCTTCAACCATGGAAACAGCAAATAGAAAGAATTCAGATCTTGAAATCAAGAAGACTTCACTGGTTTAAAGCAGGTTGAAATCTCTGAACCTCAGTTTCTTCACCACAAATTAGGAAAGATAATACCCACATGATTCACACAAGATATTGAAACAAGACACCCAAATGAAATTCAGATATATTGTGTGCTTCTGATCTACAAAGTTCACTTGATTGATACATAATAGATGACGCATGGTCTTTCAACAAAGGCAGAATCCAGTAGATCAAGTGGACAAGTATGACAGCTGAACACCTCATCAGATAAGGTTCATAATTGTAAAAAAAAAAAAAAAAAGACAAAACTCTGCTTTCAAAGAGCTTATATTCTAATGTAAATGCTAAAAGAACTAGGAAGGCATAATAATTAAGAAARAGTGAGATGTTCTGAAGAATGAACTTCTATTGCTTATCTTTTAAAACTRTTAAGTTTAATAAGAGACATTAGAATGCAGAAAAGGTAAATAATTTTCATGATACTAAAGTGCCAAGGTCTCTAATAGTGCTGCTCTTAAGTTAGGGGGACATTCTTGGTGTTATTTTTGTTTGAACTTGTATACTTATGTACAATAAGTATAGAATTTAATAATTATGTAAGGGAACCAATACACATTTATTATGTTTTAAGACAGAGGAACAGAAAAAGCAAAAGCCCTATGCTACCAAAACCTAAGTTGGTATTCTTGTTTAGTTAATATGATAAATTCAGATTTCTGTTACCATGTTTTCTATTCTAGTTAATGTGACCATTTTTCCCCAAATATACATTTATAATCTCATATTATCTCACCTTCTGTAGCCTGATTCGATGGCTCTAAAATTTAAAAACAAAAATATATTTATAAATGTCCATTTTATCTATTTAAATTCAAAATGATCACTTTATGAGGGAAATACAGAAAAATTTATTATAATCTGTTAATAATGTCATATTCCCTTATATATTTTCAACATTTCAGTTGGCAGAAACTTATTTTTACGTGACTTTCATTTCAKTTTACCTTGAATGTATATACCGGGAATATCACGATCACCTAATTGAAAGATTAGATTCACGTTTCCATTAGAAAATATACTTGAATTTTATWTTTAAAATTCACTTCAGTGCTTTAAATGTTATATAAAATTTATATTAAAAAACACATACATTATTTCTCTAGTAGACTATCTTAGAAATTTAAGTAGGAATGAGAGATCTTTGGGGGAGATAAACTGCAAAGTGTTTTAAGGAATCATCTATGATTAGAAATTATCAAACTGAAATAATTGTTTTTTTTCCCAGGTAAAATGCTTGCACACATTTAAATTTTATTTGTTTCAATTCAGCTAAACATTAAATCTTGAATTTAGAAAATGCTTAAAGTGATGAAATACATTCTGTTCCCCAATAGTCACTCACTTGTAGCTATGGCATTGTATTAAGATGACCAATATATAATACAAATCATGCCAATTCATTTACATTGATATAAATATGGCTTGAATAAGGAATTATTATTAATCTAGTTCAAAGTAAATGATCAAATTAACTATTTTCTAGAGATCAGTTAGCAATAAGATCAAATTACCGAAGTGGACTTAATAACAGTAGTTATAAATACAGAATAATTCTTGGCTAGGAAAATGTGTGATCAATCTATTCCTTAAACTAATAATTAAAAAATTAGTCCCTAAAGCTTACCTTCTATTTGATACAAATTGAGAAATGACTATGATACTGAGTATATTATTCTACAAGTTTAGATAATTACTGAAGACTTGCAAAAATAATTTAGTCCATTTATTTAGTGTTAGAAGAAACAAACTGCCCTCTAAGTGTCTGCAATTTTTATGTGAGGTTGAAGTAATGTAAAAAGCTATTTTTGATTTATAAAACAATAGTATTACAGTTTTGTCAAATACAATGCTCCAAATCTTGTTTGCTGAGAAACTGGCATTTGTTATTCTCATATTTTAAAACTTAAATTTCTTTTTATTGCCTGCTTCTGAAGTTCTAGTAGTTAGAAATGGGAAACATTTATGCCTTGCTATTTTAAAAGCTAGATTTATTAATGGATTATTAAAGATAATTGTGCATTTTGCTTTAGAGGATGATGGTATCACACTGAAAAGCCCAGTTTTTGGAGTTAGTACAAAAGTGAAACTATTGTTCCACCATTTTACTTGCTATAGAACCTAAACCAAATTAGGCGATGTCTTTGGTAAGTTCCTCATGATAAAAATTAGGTAACAATTTAAAGAATTAAATGAGGTAATGTCATCAAGGCCATAGGTTATTCAACTAATTTGAATTAGCCAATGAGCATGAAAACAAGTTAAAAAAAATACATCTGACATCCCCTACTGACTTACCAATAGTGGTACTTCCTAGTGCAATTGTTGAGTGAGGGAAATTTCCTGTGGAACCTGAGATTCAGAGTGGAAAGTGGTTAGCAGCACTCTTATTTTACTACAACACCACCCAGATGTTTAGAAACAGAACAACCCTGAATGGAGGTGCTGTGGTTCTAGTACCTGATGTGAAAGGAGTGCTTCTGCCCCTCACACCTATAGAAGTTGTAGCCAACACTCCAGTTGTACCTGAAATTAAAACAAATTAAAAAGGATTTTAGTAGCACAGATAATTTTCCATTTAGACCTCTCCTTGATATCTCAAATTGAATTAATTCAAACCTGAACTTGGGATCGTCCTACCATAAACTGCTATTCCTTTAACACTCCCTATTTCAATAATGATATCATCCTAAAAACTGAATGGGTCAGCTTGAAAATTACTGTTAACCAAATCCCCAATTCAAATCATTACCAAATCCTTTGGCCGGTACCTCCAAATTGTGAGGGTCTTTCCATTTCCTTGCACCAGCCACCTTAGTTTATTTGAAACTAGGGTCTCTATGGTGACTCAGCAGTACCCTCCTAACAAATCTCTGCTTCCG